GCGGGATTTTGTTGTACAATAGGTGTGTTATTATGAATGATTGTCTTGCATCTGCACTCAATGGCCACTTTATTAGGTGCACCTTGCCAGTATTGGGTTGAGACACTTTTTAACTTGATGTTGGAAGCATTTCTTACAGACTCTTGTCAGCATCTTGCATTTGCTGCACATTTTTTTTGGATGCACATCCATGACGCAAATCTCCTGCCACATGCATCCTAAAAAAGTACTCTCTCTTACCCTGAGATCCAGAGGCTTTGGAGAGCACTTAGTTATGATCACGTTTAGCATTTGAGCTTTGACATGATGCATTATCCCTGAATGCTGCAGCTCAAATTGAGACGCACCAGACCAGAAAAAGGTTTTTTGCAATGTCACGATCCAATGTTGGTGAACCTGTGACAAGACGGGATGTCGCCTTCGAGATGGTAGTTCAAGCTACAGCTGCCTTTCTATCATATCAAACTAGATGTATAACAACTGGCCATAAATATCAAGTAATTTCCAAATGAAGCACAAGGAAATTATACAACATATCTGCACATCTCTCAAGAGAGTCCCCACGTCAGACTTTTGAAATAAAGAGCTGGTTATGTGTTTGCAGTGTATAAGAAATATGCAAGAAGGTCAAGTTAACTAAAACAAACCTTCATTATTCATTTTGTGTACAAGCATGGTGTAGGCAGATCTTTAACATAGTGAGTTTTCTGAATGACCTATGACCTTCCATTAGCTCAAGATGGGCATTTCTATGTCTTTCATTTTACTGTTAAGATTTCTTAGAGCCCCTTCTCAAAAATGATTTTTTTTTAAGATAAGTAAACAAAACTTGCATTTTGTCCCCTTTTTGCTGCACCACGTCAGTGGAGATCAAAGATCCTCAAATTTAACTCACTTATATTTGTGCGGTTGCATTCCTGCACCAATACGGGACAAATTTTGCTTTACCTCACTGTTGCTTTTGCATCAGTTAATTTCTTCGTTTTGGTTTCTTTCTTTGGCACCAAAATCAACAAGTTATAATTTGCGAAACATTTCTGATTTGTCTAAATAAGACCAGAAAATATTTTCTGACTTACTCTTTCACTGAAACGGCACACACCCTGTTCTCAAGTTCCTCATGTTTTCTTGGGTCAAGCTGAATTGTAGGATCTAAAAATCAAAAATGCTTGCTGAGAGGAATATTTCTATTTGTCAGGCCTTTTTGAAATGCTCACTAAGGAAGGGAAATTATTATTATTTTTTTTTCCAACACCACCTAACACTCGGCATTCACATATTGCAATTACATGTTAGCTCATTACTGTCCCTTGCAGCCATGTAGTTTGGTCTTAATTTATTGCAGCTTGAAATGATCTTCTTTAAAATGATGGCCGAGGCCATCATATTAAAGCTCTAGCTTAGAAAAAATTAAAGATTAAGACATTGTTTAACAGTCATGAAAAAATTGAAACAAAGTGAGTTACTCAGTTACAGTGAAACTGTACTAGAATGGGAAAACTAACAAAAACAAACACAAAGTAAGTGGATATGTCAGGTATTATACAGTTTATAAACTATATAACAGAGCCAGTCCAGACTGACTTGGACTTTAAGAAGTGGTTTTGAAGGTGAAGATTTAAAACGGTGTCTGTGTTGTACGCTTTAGGATCTCATTAAGCACCGGTGGGGAATAAAAGTAAACGTTGGTTTTATAAAATACATTTTAAATGTTCAACCTTTCCTTCATGTCACTAAGTCTGCCTAAGTTCCTTACCAGGTGCCGGGTAAAGTTCAGAAGTGGTCAGATTTTCGTGCGGCTGTAGGGAACACAGGACACGGCGCTGCCCCTCCCACACCTGTTGCATAATGCTGGTCAGCTGGAACCTGCTGCACTTTTCTCTCAATTACAAGACTGACAAATACAGCAGGGAGGGAATATTTCCAGTTGAAAAACATACAGACAGTCAATTGTGGAAAAGTAGTGCCACCCTGTTCCTGTTTTTAAACTAATGCGGGTTTTAAAACAGCAGTTGGCAAGCAACGAGCGACATGTCCATGAAACGGCAGAGTGCAGGTTTGCCGGCGGCCCTCAGAAAAACACTGAAGTTTGTGGGTTATTCTGTGAGCAAGTATGGAAAACAAGACAAATAAATACGAGAGATGACATTGTTATAACTAAAATAATCAACAAGATATTAATTTAGAATCAGAGAGTATGAATATTTTTCAATTTTCTTACTTTTGCTTTTTTTTCGGCACACTTAAGAGCCTCAGGCAGCAATTAACACACTTAGTTGTTGCCTGAGATCAAAGCATTGTTGCCTTTAATCTCAGACAACAATCCCGTAAAAAAGTAATTGGCTCCTAAACCTAATAACTGGCTGCGCAACCTTGGCAGCAACGACTGCAATCAAGCATCTGCAAACACTGGCATTCACGTCATTCAGAAGGAATTTTGACCCACTCTTATTTTCATAATTATTTTTAATTCCACCACAACATGGGTTTTTCTGTGTAAAGTTAAACAACAGAATCTGATTCAGATGTAAGTCAAGACTTGGACTAAGCCATTCCAAAACCTTTAATATTGTTTTTTTTTTTTAGCAGTGCGGACTTCCAGGTGTGCTTTGGATAGCAAGCTTATCAAATCTGAATTCTCTCATCCCATTTTACAAAATAACTACGGTTAGCAGCAACTTGTTTGCAACTGCCAGATGAGTGCAATTAAATGCAAATTAGAAATACAAATAAACCTCCTGCATCAGAACCAAACACAACGTAAGAGATTTAAACTGGTAGTGGACTTCAGCGCGACGGAGACAAAGAGTATTAGTGCTGTTCTAATAATGTAGAGAAGCCCTTTGGGTATCCAGATGGAGCTTTCTGCTCCAGCCCCATTTCAGCCCCCGTGTCCTAGAGAAGGCAGACAAACACTGATGCAACTGGAACACCGAGTCCAGGGGGAACGGCTCTCGCTCAGGCCGTGAGAGAGCGGCTGCGTACATCTACAGCGGTCACATTGTGCGGCACTTTCTCTCCGTGCCGGACCTCGGAGCCTGCTGCGTGTGGCCCTGTTCCCGTCCCTTTCACACCCGAGCTGCATAATTGATAGCGAAGGGCGAGTTATGTTTTCAAAAGTGAAGCAAATAAATGCCTTTCTGGCCACACTGATGTGTAGATGTGCTGGGGAGCAGTGAGTGGCAGCGCGGAGTTGAAAAGAATTAACATACCCAATGGATTCTTTATTTTTATTTTTTACTAAAATGATCCAAGGCAATCCATTATTTCTGCCAGAGTGTACAGAGTTGTTACATGAAAGCCGTCCTGTTGAGATGAGCTGAAGGTCTGAAAAGCTTTTACAATTCAAGTGTTATCACATGAGAGCGACTCTCAATAGCCCTGACATATTCATTGCTCTTGTAGTTCTGGAAAAATTAAACTTTTGATTCACAAACATAGCAGAACGGATATATTTATGTCAAAGCAGCTTCATGACTTGCATACATGTGTCAAAACCTACAAAGGAATGATAGCAAAGAGATAGAAAAAGAAAATAAAAGAGGATATTTAGAATAAAAAACAAAACAATAGAAGTACCTGTAAACTCTCTGGTGTTTTGGGGTCAGAATGAAAGTTTACAAAGAGCTGGATGAGAAAGGAACCACATTTTATCCCTGCAGAGGTCCTGCCACCTTGCACTGCCGTGGCGAGATAACGTGGCAAACCTACCAGCATCGTGGTATGGAGAGAGAAATTTAAAACTAAAATTATAAGATGAAGGAATTAACTTAAAATAGAGGAGCAACAATTGTTCCCTCTGCTGCTAAAATAATCCATCATATAACTGTGGTTTTCATGCTGAGACTTGAATGAAAAATAAAGATTCTGTTCTTGTTTTGTAAGTGCTTATACTTTTTGCTATTTATAGAGTCACACAGGCATAACGAGCTGATATCTGGTTAATTAGTCAGGCTAGCTGCTTGGGTATCTGGATTCACATGTGCACTGCTTGTAGCTTGCCACCTGTAGTTTTAAAGAATCGCTCCCTTAATCAGAGTAATGGATGACATTCCTTCAGTTTTATATATATATATATACACACACACAATCAAAAACTAGAGGAGGCAGTGACCAGCAGAATTAAGTACAGGAGGGGCATGCTGTGTTATTATGTTGCTTAAATCTGGAGAAACTTCTCCAGCATGTTCTCTGGCATTTTATTAAAGACACTTTGACATTTTTAAATGGTATGTATATATATATATATATATATATATATATATATATATATATATATATATATATATATATATATATATATATATATATTTTTTATCTGTGTCTCACACCACTTCTCTCTCTCACTCGTGTGTTTTAATTTGTCTGATTAAACCTTTCCCATGTTCAAAAAGTGAACATTTGAGAAAACCCAGCACATAAGTGTCATGTCCGGAACATATTTTTCATTGTTAATAAAGTGAGAGCTGATTGAGTGTGAAATGGACTTTTACCCAGCAGAAATCGGACTCTTCCCTGCCTCCACCGATTTCAGGTTTTCACGCTGGACTCGCCGACCAATTCTTATTTTGACTGATTCCATTTTTTATAGCCCTCAGAAAATGTGCTGCTTGCTCCTTAATTGAGAAAGAAGTTTCAAAACAAACAGAAAATAATGGATCTACATTTGACCCTTATCTTAATTTGGCTTTTTGTAATAATAAAAGCGCATTAAATGTAGCTGTTAGGTGAGAAGTTCACAGATCGTAACTGGTGAACGTTCTTAGCTTTGATGCGCTTCTTGAAAAGGGAAAAAAAAACAAATGACTGATGATGTGATCGCTGATCAGAGCCCAGGAAGGGTTAATTTGTGAGACAGATTGTTGCGTCTCTAGTTTAAATCAGTCAGTTCACATGAACAAAATAAACTCTCATTGCTTGAGTTCAACTTTCTATTTTAAGGCAATTTTACCACAACCTATTCATGCAGTTGGAAAAGAGACAAATACCAAAGTTTAATGTTAGATCGTTGTAACAATGTCTGCTTTATTTCATTATTTTCGGCTGGAGTTCGATCTCGTTAGCACCGTCTATTGAAATCATCGAGCGAACGTTACTTGATAATTTTTGATCCACTGATCAGAACACACCCCACACTTGCTCTTTGCCAAATGGCGGCAGATGGCAGAGCACCAATCATTGAGAGTTCAAATATAGAGCGAGAACTTGTTACATTTGGAGATGAAGATGGGCAATCTTATGAGGAGCATCAACGAAGATGAGAAGGTTTCCTCAAAAACGTCTGTCCCTATGAAACAATGGAGGGAGGTTTGCAAACACACTTCATCATGTCATGTGTAGGCTTGGGCACAAAGCGTTGGGGGATTCAGACTGCTACTTTCAATGTTTGTGGATGTTTAGAAGAACAGAGATGATGTTTAGTTTGTAGCCGTATAACGGGGAATGCATACTGAGACCGAAAACAAACAGAGACGGGAAGTAGAGGGGTGGGCCGCGTCGATTTCGAGGCGGGGAGGATGACGGACGAATGATTCGAATACTTTGTGTCATTCTTCAGATTCATATCAGCAGAAAGTAGAATAAGTAACACAAGTCCAAAACCACTCACAGGACACCGAGATAGCGGAGTAGCAATTTACAAGGGAAAGAATAACAGAGCAGCAAAATTTTACTCTTCCTTCTCCTTCATCGTTCCTGTCTGGGCCCCAGCACCAACGCCAAGCCATCAGCTAGAACTGAACTTATTTTATACAAGTTTTCTTTGAGCAAACGTGCCTTTTCAGCTAGGGGACAACAGCTGGGACTCGTGGGAAAACGTTGCAAGGCGGGAGGGAGGTAAAGGACAAAACCAAACAGAGCCGAGAACACAAAAACGCACACAGCGAAAACCAGAAAACACAGAAAACACAGAGCTACGAATGTATTTCTTGTAAATCAAGCTCACAATAAACTGTTATTAGTTAATTTATTCTCTTTTTTTTACCTTTTTTCCAAAGTTTCTTCTTTCCCGATTCCAATCTGATTCTTTCTCTCCGTTCCCTCATTCTTAGTCTCGTTTGTGGGGTTTTTTTTTAAGTCGTTTTGCACTCTGGCATCTCCACGGCACTCAAGTAGTGTCAGATTTTATCCACTGATGCCTCCCCATCTTCTCCGCAAGCACCATTTGTCTGTTCTTCATCCCCTTGGCATTCAGCACTTTGAAAGGAAAACATGCCTTATGGACAAAGGAAGTCGGTCCTGCGAGGAGGAGCGCTGGAGGGGAAAGGCAGCGGATAAAGTCACAGGCGGTAAAGTGAGAGGCACGCTGATCCACTGCTGCTGAGTGTGTATCTGGGACAACATGTGCCAGAGCTCTGCACAACCAGTTCCACCGGATGCTTCACCCGAGAACAAATGGAAAGTCTTGGAGCTGCAGAAAGGGCTGCTGAGAAAATCGGAGCGGGCTGGAGAAGGGAAAGACATCAGTCATCGTGTTTGTGGGAGTGTGTATATGTATGCAGGATAGAAACGAAGGAGAGAGCGAGGGAGGGAGCCCAAGGTGGGAGGGAGTATATATGGAGAAAAAAAAAAAAAGGGGAGGAGACATTTTTCCTCAGTTTTCCTGTTGGGATTTTCTTTTTCTTTTTTTTCTTTTTTTCAAATATCTCATCTCTTTATAAGACAATTCCCATACCGCCTCCACGTACACCACCACGTTGTCAGCGGTGTATTATTCTGCTCTTCCACGGCTGATTTTCCCTCGTCGATTGGTCCGGTTTGCTGAAGCCAGCTGTGTCTTTAAAGCCTGTGCACTTGAACTCAGGGAGTGCTTTTCTTTCCTTGTGTACTTCCCCTCTGCTGGCCCCCAGCACACAGGAAAGAGAGTCAGCTTGCAGGAGAGACAGAACAGGACAGAGGGGCAAAAAGGGGCAGAAAGAGAAATACAGATGGGGGAGGGGGAAAGGTTTGGTTATTCACGGCTCTGGAGGATCAACTTTAGAAATACATGTGCTGTACAACAGAAAAGCTATGACCAAAACATAGCGAAAATCTTTTTTTTTTTCTTCCCTGCGGTGGATGCATGCACCAAGTTTGCAGCAGAACTATTCTAAAACGGACTGCATTTGAAATATGAACTTACAGGATGACATCATGAAAGCATGACGTCAGACGGGTGCAAGTTTAAGATCAGCACAACCTCACAAATCTGCAAAAGGTTGCATGCAAAGAAAAAAAAAGCGATTGCTTTTTTTTATTGTAGAGGAATGGAAAGTCTACTCACCTTGACTGATTTAATTGTTGAGACAGCAGGAGGCGGGAAGGGGGGAAGCTGGGGTGTGAGAGAGAGCTGCGAGTCGATAGCAGGCCAGTGGGGGCATAGGAGAACGCACCACTTGTCACGGCAGAGATTTGATTGTTCTGCACGTTGCAAGGAGTTTCACATGCAGCACTTGACTTTGGGGAGCAAAGTACAGATTCAAGATAAATCATGTGAATTCAAATCATTATAAAACTCAAACATCTGAATTAAATCATTAATAGCTCTGCACACTTAGGTCTTAATCATGGTAAAAACCAAGGCATACTCAGCTGAGCTTTAAATTATAAATGAGAATTAAAGTATATTTACTTCAGTTAAGACTGTAGGGAATTGTACATTTTATCACTACATACATCAAATTGCCAAAGTATTTACACCCCTTGAACAGTTTTACATTTTATCACCTTAGAACCACGTACATCTGCTGGTTTTATTGGGATATTATGTGAAAGATAAAGACAAGTCAGAGCACAAATGAAGCGGAGGAAAATTATAAGTTTTGAATATTTTCTACAAATAAATCTAAAACTGTGGCGTTTGTTTACTTTCAGACCCCTTTAGATTTAAACCTTTATTAAGATCCAGTTAAGACAATTCTACTCTACTATCAATACAGTCATCCAGAGTTCAAACATGGCCGCCTACCTACTCTGATGGGTCAGGAAAGAGTCCTTTATCAGAGGAGCGTCACAGATGCCAGTGGTAACTCAAGAGGAGCTGCAGAGATCCACAGCTCCTCTGGAAGAATCTTTAGACACATCTCATAGACAGTCTGGACAGAAGAAAAAATATGGGGAAACTCCCATTTACAGTTTATTATAAGCAAGCTAGGGGACAGTAGACATACCTGCACATATGTGTTGAGCAAAATGAATACCATGCATTATTCTAAGCACACAATTTCCATTCTGAAACAAGGTGGTGTAGGCGTCATGCTGCAGCACCTTGGTCAGAGTCCATGGGATGATGGGAAGACCTGAATGCAGAACAAACCTGGTAGAGATTTAAAACTGGCTTCACCTTCTGACAAGATGACAACCAACATACTTTCAGCTCTATAGTAGAATGGTTGGCAACTATTCATCGTTTTCCATTTGACCTCACAACTGCACTCTGCTTTATGTTCGATTATCACACAAAATCCCATTAAAATACATTGAAGTTTTTCAGTCGCGATCTAGCAAAATGTGACACGGTTACATTTATTAATGCTTTGCAAGATATTGCATAATTTGGAATGCACTGGGGGAAAAAATCTGTTGTACATATAAAATATTTGAGTTAATAAAGTTAAAGCCTGTTCATACCACAAATATTTGAAACTCTGTAGTGAGAGTTTCACGTTCATAGCTGAGTTTCCAAAGAGCAGGGAGGACATATAAATGATTCAAGAAAGTTATTTTTCCCCCATTGAGACTAAGAACACAAGCTCATTCAGCAAGAAAACTGAAGACAATCGCTTTATTCTCTCCAAACATTTTTCAATTATCAATCTAGATAGTTTTTCATTGTGAAGGTTAATCATAACATACTTTAATGATTGTTGCAGCAGAAGTGGATGTTGTGTTTAGACCGTAGTCAAGGGAATAAAATAAAGGAACTAAAATAAAGGCGATCAAAATGCAAGAAATGTGGGAAATGACAATATTGCTGCTTCCACTCTTGTTGAGAAAAGCTGTGAAAAACAGAGCTGTTGCCAAGTTTTACAGTATTTATAGAGAAAAAAAGGAAGGAATGGCATCATCCACAAGATTTGCAGAGCAATTCAACTTTTAGTCACAGTGAAGATAATTTAAATCTGGACTTTGATTTAGTCAAAGTCCAGATCTTGATCTCATGTAGATGTTGTTTGGCGACTTGAAGCAAGCAGACATGAAAGCTGTCAAGCAACTCAAACGAAAGTGAAGTGTGGGTCATACTTTATTCAGACTGATGTCAGAAACTGGCAGGTCACTACAAGAAGCATCTTATTTCATCTAAAGTGGGAAAAGTCTGCATAAAAACCTTAGAGAACATGGAGTACACATTTGGTTGTGCTGGGATGCAGATGCACAAAGATGTGGAACCACTAACAGGTGGAAAAAGGAGGTGCTAAATCTGTAGCCGTCAACGAAGGTGTGCTCTGCATTTGATTCATTTTTTTTTGTTGTTGTTCAGGAAGTAAATTCATGTTCCATACCTAACCACAGTGTTGGCAACACAAGGAGGAGGGAGATGGATTGGATGAAAAGAGAAACACTTCTTCTAAATGCAGACAAACTATTCCCCCAGACCAAGGACAATCATTACCTGAGGGGAAAAGGCAGCATGTGCGTTAGGGGAAGAGATGCTTATACTGGCGCTGATCTTGAAAGGGCCCCTGCAATCGATCGCGTTAAGCTCCCCGTGAAAGAGAGAAATCAATATGTTTTTAAAGGCGAAGCGGGCTGCATGCGGTGCATGCGTGTGGGCTCCATTGATACAGCCAGACGCGTTCAGAAAAGGAGCCGCTACTGCAAAAGCGCTATCACGTTTCGAGGTCAAGTGGTCTCATTTCCAATACTTATCTGCAAAATCATGACACCTGTGAGCCGCATGAGACTGGAAAGGTTGCACGTTTGTGGACTGTGCATCTCTCTCTGGGTTCCTATTATCATAGAAGAATATTAGACCAGCAATTGAGCAGATAAAGAGTTTGGGAGGAGGGGGACGGAATCACTTGTTTTAAGAAGAACTATGCAGAGGCATAGGTGAGATCTGGAGGGCTGCGTCAGGATTAGTTAATGGATAGAAAATCTAATGAGCAAAACTTACCTGTGACTTTTCGGGAAACAAAGAAATTGCTTGAGGAGAGCGTAAAGCAATCAGTCTTACAGCTAGTGATGAAGATTGCCTACACAGGTTCAGCTCAGGAGAAAAATGAGTGGGAAGGATGTCAACAAGTACAAAGAGTAAAGAAAAAGTAGCAAGTCAGGAGGGAAACAAAGGAGAGAGAAAGCAATTTAATTTCCATCTGTAGCCAAAACATTGCTAATCAATACAAAAAAGGGCACCCACTCTATAAAACACATTTCTACCTCTCACCTCCCCCCTCTTTCCTCTCTGTCTATTTCCATCTCTCTCAGGCACCCTCTCAGCGATAATTCACTCTTGAGTTGGCATCTGGGCCAGTGAGTTTGATCCAGTTGAGCCAGGGGTGATAAGACATCTCTGCACAGATCTAACACACTTTCCCTAAGTTCTCGCACAACGCGGCAACCTAAAGGTGCCAGAGAGTCACGTGTGAGGCTGGAGTGAGAGACGAGGCAGAGTGAGAGTCGGAGCCCTGCATAAAAAGAAAAGTGCCTTCAAGTGTGCTGGATGATACAACTCTGGCATGTGATCCCAGGCAAGTGGCATCACCATAACATTTACCTAATGACATCCAGCAACCATCATCCTGCTGTTGAGAATAGATAATATAAAGGTTGAGGACAAGAGGTTCTCGGATACAAAAACAGCTTCTAGTGGTCCTGATGCTTCCAATGTGGTTTTTATGCTACAGAATCAGGATCGGCTAATACAGAGCAGACACGAGTCTGCCCTCTAGTGGTGACAAACATGAACTAATGAAAAATGGGCGAAACAAAAATCTTTTCCGTCTTGATCCACAAACAATGTATGGCTTGAGTTAAGTATTTACCAGCAATACTAGTAAATAATTAAATAGGTGCCTAACAACAGAACATACACCATTAACAACCAAGGTATTGTTTTTATATATTTGTAAAAGCACCATTTTTATCTGTTGTGACATTTATAGCATGAACTGTTTTGCTCATATAACTTTTGTTATTCAGTTTAATTTCCCTTAATAAATTATAGATTTTTTTTTAAAAATTGTCCAGTTTTAAAAATTTGTTTGATGATCTGAAATAGATTATGATGAAAAAGTAAAACAGAAGAAATGTTTAATAGGACAAATGTTTTTCAAAAACAAATAATGAAATTGTATCTGTATAAATATAATGTGGGTAAAATTGAACAAAACTTTAAGCTTTTACACTGTTTTCAAAACAACAAAAATAATGACATTATATGTTATTGGGGAACATAAATGCCATACAAGTGAGTTATGAAAGAGATCATAGTTTTCAGTCTGGTGTGTGCATTCACAGGGGCTGTAAAGTGCTTACACTTTTCTCACTTTCTTTCTGTCCTCAACATTTTTACAGTGTTTTAAGATACTTTGCTCAACTTCTTCAACTGCACACAAAGGAGTAAGAATTTGGACATTTTTATTTAGTCTTTCCTTTAAAAAGTAAGCATAAAAATAGCCAAATTATCACGTAGATAATTTTAACACCAATCTGGACTGATAAAAAACAAAGAGCGGGAGTATGAGGAGAACAAACAGTCCCATGGCTGTATTATTAATATGATATGATTTCACTGTGTCAGACCTTCAGTCTCTGAGTCTGTGTTGCTGCTATTGTTGGTATTTATGGGTGCAGTATTGATCTGAAACCCAGTGACTCATTCCTTGTTGTGGCTAGAGGTCTGTGGTTGAAAGAAGGCCGAGTCTATGTCACAGAAACACTGCTTACAGTTTACTATTTCCTAAAACTAAAAACAGAGGAAGCTAAATGAGAGATGCATCATTGAACTCCTGTAAAATAAGACTTTTATATTTGTGATGCTATAAAAACATTAAAACTGATAGTAGTTTTATAACTCTTATTAAAAAAGCTGTTTCAAGTATACTTTCTATATTGATTGATATAATCTTACTCCCGAGTATTATTATTTTGGGTACATTTATTTAGCGGGAATAAAATAAGTTAAGAAATAGAGGTAAAAATACCTTAAGTGAGAGCTCAGATGAGCATTGTAAAAAAGCAATTGTAGGTCAATTAAAGACGGATTACAATCAAGGTATATGAAATACCATTTCTGAAAGCAGATGGCCTAAATCTGCACACAGAAGTCCACAATAAGTCCCAATCCTGTTCAACAAGAACAGAAAAATAGGGATCCAATTCACATAAATGGAACAAAAATGGACAAGGATTAAATTAATTTCAGAATTTGAATGGTGGTGGTAGCTTGATGTTATGGGAAATATTGTATTGGCACACCTTGTACCAAACTTGTATTGGCACACCTTGTACCAAACTTGTTTAAACTGGTCCCCTATAGACATCAATGAGTTCACTGCCCTCCAGTGGATCTCATTTAGGACATGGGATAGCTGATGTTTTACATACCGTGTTGAATCTACGGCAGAAACAATTAAGCAGTTCTGAAGGCCGAATGGGGTTCACCCTGGTAACAGAAAGGTGTGCCTAATATTGTGGCCTGTGAGAGTACTCACACTTTCAGTAATTTTACAGTTATTTTGTTTCATATTGATATTATTTTTGGAAACCATTTTTAATGTTTCAAAATGAAAGCTTTCCTCTCATTTGCACAAAATATTACATGATTTTGTTGTGATTCTTGATTGCCCCCAACATTGAAGCTGGATTGAATAAATTCATTAGATTTTACAGTGAGAATTGCATTGTTGTGGTGTAGTTTTCAGCCTAAAACAACAGAGTTCAAAGAAAGAAATCTCAGCCTTCAGGTAGCCTGGAGGAAATAACAATTCTATACAAGGGTGTGGTTGAAATGTCTTTCATCTCTGATTTAAAAACAAATCATAGAAAACCTCCTGCTGCAGGAGAATAAAGTTGACACGCATAACTCACCTGTATCACACATGCATCGTTGAGGGATCACGTCTGGACAACTTTCTTTTCAGCTGCTGCAGGGTTTTTTTGTTCACCATGAGTAAACACGTGTTTTTTAGAGCGAGACATCAGCACTGCCAGGGTTACAGCTCCGCCTTGTGGTAGCAGACGGATATAGCAGCTTAACCACTGAGCAACAAAGTACAGCGCAACATCCATCCATCCATTTTCTTTACACCCTTGCCCCTTAGTGGGGTCCGGAGGGGTGCTGGTGCCTCTCCAGCTGACGTTCCGGGCGGGAGGCGGGGTCACCCTGGACAGGTCGCCAGTCTGTCGCAGTACAGCCCAACATGTTTATCTTATTCAGATGCTACTGATAGCAATAATAATAATAATTTTTAAAAAGATCAAAAGAATTGTTAGCATTTTATAACATGACAGAAAGAAAATAACAGAGAAAAATAAACAATTGAGTTTAATCCGGTTTGTTTACTTACTGAAGTCATCTCAATTTATTTGTGGCTTTCTGTCCAGGCTGACATGACCTGACATCTTCTGTTCCTTATTTCCGTGAACAATCAATGGAGAAAGAAGTGGAGATAAACACTGTGGAGTGCTGATTGTTCATATTTACCTGATTAGCCATGTGGAAATGTCAGACTGTCAGAAGTTTTTCTGATCTGAATCATTTAACCTGCATCAATTCTGATCTGGTAAGGTATTATTTCATCTTTTAATTTCCACTATTGCCTTTTTCAAAAATTGGAACCTGGTTAGCACAATAGCACTTATTCTGTTCAGTTTTTGGTATGTTGAGGACATTTTTTTAAAACTCAGGGTTAACATCGTAAAGGTTTTTTTTTTTTTAATTGAGGGAATAAATAGTACAAGTGTCTGCATACAAATCCAATTTCTAAACAATGAATGAATGTAACTCTGGAAGGGACAGAACAGGAAGTGTTACACATTTCCTGTACTGAACACAAAAACAGGCTCTATGGAAAAGAACCCATTGTACATTTTGACTCTTTTTGCATTTTCTTATTTTTCTTTAATTGCATTTCCATATTTATACTTTACACTTCATGAGAATTTATTCAGTTGTTTGTTTTCTGATTTGTCATTTTTGTGCTTGACATGCAGCCTCTCATTACGAAACCAGACTGCCCAAATACACTTTGTTTGGGACTGTTGTTACATGACACAGATTTTTTTCTGTATACGTTTTTCTTGTTCTTCCATATTTTTTATTGATTTTACTTTGAATAATCTCAACTTAGTTTTTGGAGTCCTCCATCTCAGTTCTTTTTAACTTAATAACTCATAGTCATGGTCCTGTGTGAGAATCAGTTTTTGGGTATTAATCTTACCTAAAAACACCACATTTTCACAATATTTCTGTTTTTTTTTTTTTTTACTAATTATTTTTTGAAAACCTAAATTATTTTTTAACTTCTTTAAATTCAAAAATATTCAATATTCAATTATTCTCGCAGCTGCCAAAAATAATAATGCAAGATATTAGTTTTTATAAATATATTTTTGTGTTATATATACTACTAAATATTATTTTCCCTTTTGGTCAGCCTTAAAAATATAAAATGCAGCACTTTTTAAGGTATAGTAACAGATATTTCTTAATTCCAAATGGACCCGTTTTGTCTTTCTTGTAAGCAGTGTTGGCCTCCGTTCAGTCAGCTGGTTGGCAGTGTGCAGCAGCAGGCGATGTGTGTTGATGCGTCATATTTCATTCAGGCAGAAAAACAGATTTTCTGGCATCACAAAATGACTTAAACCGCAGCAGTTTTGAACTTTTTAAAACCGGTGTTCATAAAATGTGTTGGGAAGCTTTTGTTCAGTCTTTTTGATTTAGAGTATTAAGTAATACTAATGGTAACTGATCAATTGTATTGTGGCAGGATTTTGAACAACGTGGCTAGAAAGAACAATGGATACCGGATGTGTAAAAAGAGACCTCGTTTATTAGAAAGTTACGGGGCATTCTTATTACTTCATATTTCATCACCAAGGTAGTAGAACAACCATAAAGAAAACTCCATGTTCAGCTGGTTATCTGAATTGACCATATTTGGGGCGTCGGTCTGGAAGGCAGCCCGTCAGCGAGTACTCACAGGAAGTGAGTCACGCTTACGGTAACGTTACGTCCTTGTTGCAGCAGCAGAGCAAGAGAACAAGGAAGCAACATGTGCGAACCATAATAACTCCAACAACACTCAGAGCAGGCGGACGGGCAGGCACGACGAGAGGAAAGCGGATAGATTCACGGGGTTTCCACTAAAAGGATACTTTATTAACAAATGTGAGTGTTTTACCTCTTCAACTATACTTTTAGTGTTTTTGAAACGAAAGCGAGG